CTCAGTGTTGGGAGAATAGTGACATAATGGTGAAAGCATCTTGCACAGTGTCTGACACATAGTAGGTGCTCAAGAAATGCCAGTGTCCTTCTTTGATATTCCCATGGCAGGATGAAACACAGAAAATGTCCACTCCGGGAATCACGTCTGCGACCAATGGGGTAGGTTTCTGGTAGTGAGTAAGTCTTGTCCCCATCACAAGTGACCCAGTTACTCTGAGCCCTACCCATAGAGGTTCTACAGTGTGTCTAGTCTTAGGTTCAACTCAGCTTCACTTTCTGGAAGTAACTGCTTTCCAAAGGGATCTATTCCCACTGTCTTTGCATTGGAATGAAGGCTTCAACTGTTACGTGCTATTATGGCTGTGCCTTTTGTGTCTTATTTCAATAAAAATAGCCTCATTTTTGAGGCCGCAAAGAGTAAAGTGATTCAAATTGGAAAAACATAGATTTCGGAGGTTCGGATAAGCTACCATAGGATAATGTCAGAAAAATGGCTAGGTTGAGAGTTACAGCAGAAACTCTAGCCATTTCCTGTGAATTCGTTCATAAGCTCTCCCTCCATCATTCCACAAGGTTAAATACAGATTGTATCAGGTGCTTTGATCCAAGCTGACACAATGATTTAAAGAAGCCCTACTACCTGTTCTTTCTGGTAGAAATAAAATATGACCTCCCTGTGATTTTCAACTGGAGTTTTTGGCTTATTAAACCATCTTACATAGAGCAACCTCTTGAACAATTTTTAAAAAGACATGAGGGCAACTACTGTGCATGTGTAATTGGTGCCTTTAGTGGAAAGTAGGGCAGACTCACATAACTCCAAAGGCTTTGGCCTTGAAGTGTGATCACCATGCACATGATAAATAAAATATCGGCCTCCAGAAAGACAGATTATAAGAGTAAGTACAGTGTATTCTTCTTTTTTACAGTTATTATTGGAAGTTGGATTTGCCCCCCAAGAGACTGTAATATTACAAATTACAGACAAAACATATATAACAAAGATGGCTTTTTATCTTCTTAAAACTCTGCTTAGCAGGAAAAAGCAAGCCAAGTGGCTCAGCCATGCTATAGAGGCTTCTGTGGAGCCACCACACTTAAACGCTGCCCCAAAGCTCTGGTGACACTGAAGAGGTCCCTTTCTGTATGGCACTTGTTTGGCTCTCACACAGCTTCAAACATCCAATTTGTTGAAAATAGTCTGCTTCGTATCCAGCTGCTAAAAGCATGTTAATTTAAAATTCAAGGAATGCTTTATTCTAGACTTTTTGTTTTTACATTTCTGAGTTTCACATGTCATGTCATGTCATGATACAGATAAGAGAACAGGGGCAGGAAAAGTAGCCTGAGAAATGGAAATATAGAAGTTCCTTTATTTCCTTTCTGCTTACATTGAAGTCTAAAACATAACTTTTTTTTCCATTCCTGAATTCAAGACTACTCTAATAAAATACATGGTCAGCCTAAGAGAAAATTCAGTGCCCAGCATAAGCAAACAATTAGAAATAGCTTTGTAGGGAATTAGAAAGAGAAAGTGAGGAAGAATAAAAAATACCTCCCCTCCAAGTAGCAAGATTTCTTTGACCTGAATTGATATGCATTTTGAGCACTTTCAATTTAACTATGTTCAAGGGGCAATTTTATGGTAATGCCATAAGTATGGTTTAGGGAGAACATTTCTTAATACGGTAATCTAGGGGAAATATATGCCTAAGGGACACATTCTCTGTAGAAAGATTACCTGGACTGTATGCTGCAAATACATGGAAAACTCATTGGTAATGGAAAGCTATGGCTATGCGAGGAAATTAATGCGGACCAGATGGTAGTTAGGTAGGAAGATGTTTTACGCAAATGTGAGAAATCAGCGTCTTCTTCCTATCACTGAAGTGTTAGTCTAATACCCACCAGATCTCGATTTTTCTATATGTAAATCTAGAGAAACCATGCATCTGATTTGCTCAAAAGAAAAAAACTGAGCAGCATGAGGTTTGTAATCTTTTAAACTTACGCTTGAGGATAGGAAACACGTGCCAGGGGTGAATTAAACAGTCAGAGAAAGCAATACCTGATTCTCAAAAATTTTAGAACTGCCATGTAAAAGCATCATTAAGCAGCAGTCCTCAATTTGAACCAAGATGTGTTATTACCTCTCCAAGCTTAACAAAAATTACGAGGAAACCACTTGTATTCCTTCTTCTAATCTGATTTTGAAGGTTATATTATTTTTGTACATTCCCTAAGAGACTTTGCAACCAAAATAATGCTACAAAATAGACAAACATTTGTGGATGTGATATCACATGTCAATAGATTTGGAATTTATAATTTTGTCTTGTCAGTCCAATAAGAACGGTCACATTTTAATTCAATAGAGCTTATACTGTATCATTCTCAAAAAATACAAATAAATAGGTACATTTTGAAAGTTAACTTTAATGCATCATATTGTTTCTCTATATCTACAAGTCATTGTGATTCCAGAGGTTAAAGATCCTTCATACTACTCGAACCTATTAACAATATTTGTAGACAATTAGTTGCAAAACAGAGACACTAAATCAATACAAGAGAGGAAGAGAGAAGGAAAATAATCAGGGCCCAATTCACTAAAAGGGGTTCTTGCATATGTAACTTGTGTGGCACAGAGCTTCTGACAAGCAGAAAGCCTGTATCATTTAACGAAGTTGGGCAGTCCTGAGTTGGGCAGTTCTGGTTTTGTAGTTGGATCTACGGGCCTACACTCAGCCACCGACTGCAGGACACACACAAGACACAGCTAGAAACCATGGGGGCACTTTGTACTTTGGAGTTGGTTTCCTTGTGTATATCCATGCTCGTAACAATGCAGTTTGGTTCTTCTTTTGATGCTGCAAATGCAGTGCCCAGTACAGTGCCTTGGACACACAGTAGTCACTCAGCAAGTATTTGCTGAATGAATTTGTGAAAGCTATTCTGGGTTTATTAACTCCAAACTTAGCATCCCTTGCAATGGTTTATTTGAAAAAGTTGCCTATATTTTTGTAAGTACTGTCTGAACCAGCCCTCATTTTGATGGTCAATTCATAATCTAACTGCTTCACACTGAATAGATTTAACTTGAAATAGATAGGATTATTAGCTTAAAGGAAAATTCCAACTCTTCTTTAGTTTCCTCAAGACCTGAAAATGAGTGAGCATCATCCTTTAAAGTGTTAATATGGAATAATTAATAAGTATCTTTCCTTTTGTAAAGGAAATAAGAGAGGACATAGCTTAGGGAGTGATTTTTATATCCCGTAGTTTAATTATTCTATCTATTTGAGAAACTACCTGGGAGTTAAAATTGGTCTTAGTATGGCTGATGAATGCTGGACAGGTTGCTGGTTCAATTCATTTGAAGATCTTAATTTCTCAATATCTGATAAAGACTATTCAATTATAGATAATGATTGCAAAGTAACGTATTGGAAAAGAGTAGATGCTAAGCGTGGTTTTTCTTTGAAGGCAGTCTAAATTAGATGACATTTGCCTTCTAAGCAATTTTTCTTCTAGTCTTTAGTGTTCAATATTCTGGTTTGAATCATAGATGAGGGAACATTAAAGGTGGATGAATTCTGTGGGCTCATCTGCTCTACACTGCCGTACTTCACAGGGAGCCAGTCAGGAGAAACCAGGCACCGTTTTCCATGCCTACACAGCTCCAACCTATAAGACAGTCTTTAAGACACTCGGAAAGGCTTTTTATGTATGCTAATTTGACACAGGAAGTGAGAGTTTACAAAGAGCTATTAAACACATTTGTAGCCATCATGAACTATTTCTTTGGATCATAAATCTGCATTGCTTTCTTTTCCTTCCTCTTTTCTTTTATCTTTTTGAAAATTTATTTCTCTCCCTCTCTTATTACCTATTTCTATACTTAAAGACTGTCCTGGATCTGCTGCTTGATTATAGATCTTAAGCACACAAACTATAAAATGGCTGTGGATACATGAAACTCAGAGCTCCCACTATAATGCAGAGGCTTAAATTTGCCGTCACATAGATGTTTTTCATACAATATTTTAAAAAGCATATGGATAGGTTACCCTAATAAATATTTGGGGGTACCTTGAGAAACATAAATAGAACAGCTACATTTCAACTTCTCATATAAAGAATTCAGAATATTCTGTTTATGAGCTTAGAAGCTTTGTTTAATATACTGATTGTGTGTTTCAGACCAAGAACAATGAGATAAATCCTGTTTGCACATCATTTCCACTGCGTCACTCTTCCTTGTCTATGTTCTGAAGAAATCATACTGAGAATATCTCTAAATATTCATACTCTTTTTGAGCTTAAATTTCAGTGGCCAATTTCATACTATATTGGAAAGTTTTCTCTAATAAGAACCTGACCTGTGTATCCTGTATGGATTTTCTCCAGCAGAGGGTATTGTCCTGAGTGCCAGCATTTTAGGGGATGGTGTACTGTATCAGCTAAAAAACCATAGTCTATTAGTTATCAGCACTGTTCCTTTGTCTTGGATATACTTATGTTCGAAAGCAATTTCTTTTCCCTCAAGAACTCATTAAATGTATTCACCAAACTCCCTAAGGTTGGCATATTTCATGTTATCTGGATTAAAAATTTAGGACTCGGTCTCCCATATCAATTGTCTCACCTAGGCAGAGTGATTTTTGAAGGATGGTGAAATTAATAAATAATTTTAGTGAATTGGGGCCCTAAAGTAACAAAGAATCTGGTTCATGATGTTTAGGAATGAAAACTATAAGCTACTGCCAGATGAATGACTTAAAGAATTAAAAAAAAAAAACCATAAACTGACCATACACTGTGTTGTAAGACATTTCATGATCTGGTAGAGGAGTTGAAATGTCTATAAAAAAATAATGAGGATAAAAAATTAATTAAAAAGAAACAAGATTTGAACATACTCAAAGGATCAGTGAAATAGAAATTCTCAGATAGGTTTTCACCAGTATTAAATTATGAGAGTAATATCTTCCTTACCATTCAGTGCCACAAAGGAATCTGAAAGACAAAAGGGAGGAGAAGGTTACTTAATGTTTTACACTCTGCTTAGTGTGACTTACATAAGTGGGAATGAGCTAATACAGTACTATGCCAATGTATGATCCCTGTTCCTAAGTGCTTTTTAATTCCTGCATGTAATGTAAGATACATTATACTCAGTCTGATTTCACACCTCCTTATCTCTTCCACCAAGTGAATTTCCTCCAAGTCACTGCCTTTGCCAAGAGGCAGAGAAAATGCAAGAGTTGGCAGATGAAATGGTAACTGCAAATAGGTGATTCTAAGAGTTTAAGCCCTACTTTATACAGAGGGACGTGCATATGCATAAGTGATACCTGGACCACACTTACAAAAAAAAACACCTTTTCTTTATATTCTCTTTTTACTTTATCCTTGCAACCATGCTGTGAGGAACTGTCCAGAGTTATAGTATTCTGAAGTCATCAGGGGTTTTAGTTTGGAAATTAAAACAAAAAACAAACCTTTACACATATTAGGCAACATATCTAGGTGTGTGTTTTGTGTTGGGGTCAGATACCTGGTTCACTCAGCCTCTAACACTGGCTCTTTGTATTTTCCTCATTTCCCTTTAAAATCCTGTTAATTTTGTACCAGTTATAATGATTACACCAGTTATAGAAATCCTCTCTAATACCTACGTGGGGATAGGTCTGTCTAATAGAGGTAGTTCATGCTCCAGCAGGAACATGGGGAAAGGATAAGCCACGAGGAAAGGCAGGCAGGCAGAGGAGCAGCTTTACCTTCTGCCCAGAGTAAGCAAGCACCTTATGTGCCTCAGCAGGAGTGAGGTTAAAGGTCAAGGGCACACTGCAAAGCATGAAGGCAGATCCAGGGGGTTGACCGCTAAGATTACTCTGGAAATAAAGAGTAAATCACGGGTTTGGGACCTGAGAGCCTCCCCTATGCTACATACAGAGGCTCCTTACATTCTTCTTCCTGAGAACACAGAAAAGGGTGTGAGCCTACTGGTACAGTGGACATTCTATAGACACAGTAACAACCATCTTTACCTGTTACACGTATTTTCTGATTTGATCCAAATCTACACCCCTATTTTTTTACAGATGCCACTATCACAAGTAATATAAATGTGATGACAATGGCTCAACGTCATCTAAGCTGTTAATAAAGCATGCGTGCGTGCACACACACACGCACACACACACACATTAAATAAAACCTGTTTCCTTGCAAATAAAGCTATAATGCACTAAGATGATTAAGGTCTACTGATGGAACATCAAACTATTTCCCTGATAGAGATGAACACATACACGTAACATATATCTTTTGGTGATGACACTTCTCCTATGTTTATTTATTTACTCATGATTTTGTGTGTAAAGAATTTTTGCCAGTATATAATATTTGTAAATGAAAAAAATATATATGGCAAAGATTTGGAGATAAGTCTGACTTCAGCCTTCTTTATTTGATTATAACTAATCTCTAAAAAAGATAAGGTAGAAAGTTGAATGACACTTTAGAGTCTGAAATTTCAGTACTCACGACTGATATTCAGAGTTATATCCATGATTTTTATTAAGGAATCAAGTATCAGAAGTAATATAGCTTCATTCCCTTAAGAGATATTATTTGGTGCCATTTTGAATGCAAGCTTCTTGAAATTCAGCATATGTAACATTTGAAACAGCTCAAACTAGACATATTTTCCAAGAGTATGGTATTGTTCTTTAAATTAGCAAAAAAAGCATTTTCAGGAGCATATTGATATTAATCAGGTCACAGGACAACTGGGCAGAAATTTGAGCAAGATCCTTTATATAAAGTTCTAACTAAAATGTTAGCATTTAATAATGAACTCTGAAATTTGCACAGTAGGCCAATTCCTATAAAAAGGTTATTTTGGCCAGGTGCAGTTGCTCACACTTGTAATCCTAACTCTTTGGCAGGCTAAAGCAGGAGGATCGACTGATGTCAGGAGTGTGAGACCAGCCTAGACAACATGGTAAAACTCCCGTCTCTACTAAAATACAAAAATTAGCCGGGTGTGGTGGTAGATGCCTGCAGTCCTAGCTACTTGGGAGGCTGAGGAACAAGAATTGCTTGAACCTGGGAGGTGGAGGTTGCCGTGAATGGAGACTGCGCCACTTCCAGCCTGGGCAACACAGTGAGTGAGACTTTGTCTCAAAAAAAAACCAGGTTATTTTCATTTGCCTTGTACTTGTGGGTTATTTCTGAAATTTTTTTCCTATCACATACGGTAATAGACACAAATCTAATTTAAAAACATAATTACTTTCATTAGTTGATATGTTCAAGAATAAAACAGGCTCACTCAATTAAAATGCTAGAGTACAATGATCAATCTTTCTGTTATTTGGCTAAAATTGACAGTATAAAAGCCCATTTTAAAAAACAGCAAAACTGTCATTTTGTAATGGAAATGCTGATTTAACTTACTGCTTTGCTGTAATTAATATCCTCTAGAGTGAATGTGTTCCCCTGCATTAGAATTAATGAAATAGGTGCCAGCATTTATAGTGACAACACTGACAACTGGCTTTAGAACGCACTGCTTTCTTTATTTGATATTTACAAGATGATTTCTGTCATTTACGAATGTGTTAGTGTCAGCTGCACTCAGTTCCACATGTGAGCTGATGTATCTAGGCCTTTCACTGAAAGCATTTTTGCCCTAAGATAAAAATGGATAAAAGACTGTACTTACTGTGACAGTCCCCCAGACCATCTGTATTGCCACGCTCTATGTCCTGCTCAAAAGTCAGTCTTTTAAAAAAGGAAGGGAAAGAGAGACAGAAATGAATACAATAATAGGCGTCATTATTCAGAAATGAGTCTTAAGTTTCACTAAAGAGAATAACAGTTTGATAAATCGAGTGGCAGATGCAAAAAAGAAATAGATAATAGCTTGAAAATTTATCTCTGAAGTTTATAGCAATGAGTCTTAGGTGACTCTCCAAAGAGAAGTTGTGGTTTAAGCAGTGAATTCAGATAATATTCAGGGAGAAAATTAGTTTGCCGATTATTTATATCCTTCTTTTACTCTAATTCTCTGAGCATTTCTTAAGCATTTAAGAAGTTTAGATGTTAAAATACACTCCTCATATAAATAATATAGACGTCTATAAATTTTAAAAAAAGCCTTTTCCTCTCTATTCTCTTTTTCACTCCTACCCTTGCCTTTCTAAACCTTTATCTGTTTCTTTGCCTAGACCTTTATCTATCTAAAAACTTGGATGATAAAGTGTTCAAAGGTCCAAGCAGGCAGTGAGGGGACAGGAGCCGGTGGTGCCTTTTTTGGAGACCACTTGGCTATTCGTTCACTCGCAGCCCTGCCCCAGTCCTTGGCAGTATTACTCTCATTCTCTTGGACACGCTTACATTTCTTCCACGTCTACTAGGTCACCTCTGGGCTGTATAAGCCACATGACATTAATAAAACCAATTTTAATAAAAGCTATTTTGATTTTTAAAATAAGCATACCAGAGTCATTCTCCTTTGGGGACACTTTGTACATATTCTCATTATATAAGTGAAACTCTTATTTTGCAACTGACTTCAGAGTTTATTTATGAGCCATATAGGAAAACTATTTTGAAAGTCACAGCTTGATCTAATAATCTGCCATGTTTGGTTTCTAATCCTTTTTGGCACATTAAAAATCAAATTCTTCAAAAGATGAAGATTTATAATGGTAATGACAGCCAATATTCATCATGCCCTGAAGCCCGCTCTCCAAAGGGAGTGCCCCATGTTTTGAGCAATGCCAGCATCCTTGAAATATGAATGCAAACCTTAAGGAAACTATTTTGGAGTTCTTACAGCCTTTGGTCACATATTGAACATAGAAAGGACATAGGTCATTTTGTAGCTCCCCTCACCACACTTTGTGATTCTTTCTCCTCCACCTTGAGGGTTCCCATGAAAAGGTACAATGCTCTACTATTATAGCATGTCAATATTGCTACTTGCAAAGCTGTTCTAATAATATACAGTGAGTCAACCTTTTGCATTAGTCAAATTTCCAGGTCTGATCATATAGGTATCATTAGCTCTGTTTATGGGAATGTGGTGGTCATCAGACATGCCGTTTGGTCTGTTTAGCGATTCTGAAATAGGAAACGAGGCTCAGAGCAATGTAAAGATGGTTCTGTTTCCCCATTGGATCTGGGGAGGTTGAAGAAATGGCTGTGTCGAAGGAAGATCTGTGCTGCTCTAACCTCCTTGAGTTGCCACAACCAATCAAAGATGAGCACTGAATAGTTTTGCAAATGTATTTTGGATTTCACATTCAGTGAAGTAAAAGCATAGAAAGAAACCTCTTAGCCATTACCATCTAACCATTTAAAGCCAGGGTAACAATTTTCAACACCAAAATCACAGGCATGGTGGACTGGCCTCATTTAGCTGATCTGTTGGAGAACTGCCAAGAATTGATTGACTGCCTAATGAGTCATAGGGTCAACTGTTTTTCAGTGCAGGAAAAGGTTTATTGGATGTACACACCATGCTTGCAGTACAATTGCATTGCTTAACAAATGTTCTGCAATTTCTTCTCAACCCTGCACAGTCAATTACAACAGCCAGTTTTGCTATGGCTGGACAAAGCACTCACTAATCTAATCATCCTATTGCTCCTTTTCTCTGCTTTTCCCACCATGATGATCAAGGCAGGCACCTTCTTGTCCCTCTCTCCAGAGAATACGTTGAAGCCCACTGTGTTTCCATTCTGTGTTTTTAATCAGTCCAAAGATGATTAATCAATTGGAAATCTGCCACATGTGATGTGGTTAGGTTCTGTGAAATGGGAAAAGGAAGCATAAAGGCTGACAGTCCCGTTGCTGGAGTTTGTGCACAGAAAGCTGTGTGGTGGTGTGTGAGAGCAGAGCAAATCTTATATCTAGAATGCACCGTGGCTGGAAACCACTTTACCCTCTCCCACACCTCAGGCTCCTTACCTGCTGTTGGGTGACACATGGGCGCAGGCACCACCTTCTTTTATCCACCCACAATATGGGTCTCTGGAGGCAATACAGGTTCTGCAGGAAGAGGATGACCATGAGCTACCTAGGACTGTTTCCCAGCCACCATGGACTTTCTGTCAGTGAGGCAAAATACATACTTTTTACACTTCCCATGTCGTTCACACCGGCCAAGGGGAACCTTTATCACACAGGTAGAGAATGCAACATACAGAGAGCTGCTTGCTCTGTCCAGCTGCATGCCCATGATCCTTTTGTCTTCGACTCCATCATAGCTGCATCTGATTTTATCAGGCAAGAGAATATCATGAATAGACTCTGCTCTTTTTCTAGGCACCACCCTCACATCCCACTTCCCAACCCATAAGGCAATCTCTTAATCTGATCTAGCTGGCAGTGAAACAAACAAATCCTTTTGCCCCTGCACACACATAAATACACACATATATATGTATCTATATAAACACACACACATATTGGCAAGGAGAAAATAATGCTTTTTAGGTGTTAACAAATTTTTACAAACAGCATTGAAAGGTCATCTAAAATGCATAAAACCTAAGTCAGCCATGATTTTCTCTGAATGAAAGGGACCATAATAGCACGGCAAATAATTACTAAGAAAGAACCAAATATTCTACTTACTTTTCAGGGTTGTAAACGCTCATCTCCTCCAGGAAAAGGCTGTCATTTAGAAAACCACTGTTTCCTATCCTGGCCAAAAACTTCAAGATGATTCCCTTCTCTGATCCCAGAAAAACCACAGTGTGATTCTGATATGGCCCAGCAGTGGTGTCCACTGCAATTTTGGTCAGGCGGTATCTAAAATGACAGGACCACATTTTTTAATCTCTTTGTTGGTCTATCATTAAAGTGTTCACTGTTTCACTTGAAACAGCCGTGACATAGCTTTCTAGTAATAATCTCAAGAAAAATATATGCATATATATAATGTTCTTAAGTGGTTCTGGCCCTTTATTTCCATTTGCAGAGCATTAGTGTGGCTCCAAAGGGGAGGAAGGAGGGGTGTGTGTGTGTGTGTGTGTGTGTGTGTGTGCCAAGTTCCATAATAGATAGTCAAAATCACCTGAAACCACTTAGCAATAATCCCTTCCATGAACAAGGAAAGAATGATGTCTCCTTTGAAGAGGGTAAGAAGTAATAAGAAACTCATTTAACCTTTAGTTTAACCTTGAAAAGCAATGACTGCCATTTCTCCATACTCTTCCTCTGAGATGCAAAGCCTTCATCAGCAAAATGTTTGATTGGAAAGCTTTTCAATTTTTTGTAGAGGGGCTGAGAGAGTTGTAAAGGATGGAGAGATGGGGTGCTAATGGCACTACTAAAACTGTAAGGAGCTGCAACCCCAATGATACCCATTTAAAGCTAAAGGTGAAGGGCATATCTAGGATAAGTCCTACCAGCAACACTCTTTCTCTGAGATCCCTTGGTCACTCAACATTCCATGGGAACCTAGTTGTCTGAAGTACCATAGCTGGAGCCAGAAAGCACAGACCCTCCTGCAAGTTATATACCATGGTTTCCATTTTACATGCTAGAGCTATTGCCTGCTTTAATATGTTTTAGTAAAGTCATAGTATTAAAATAGTGGTAAAGTTAATTAACATTTTGTTTGATGTCTACCACAAATGGGATAGTACTTGGGAAAACCCGTTGAACTGTTTGAAAAGAACCTCTAAATAAATACAAGGAACAGTTTTTTAATGCTATCACAGATCTGTAATTGGCTTTCCCTTTACTGTTGGCCACCAGCTCAGAAAAAGAGTACTAAGGTATGAATCCTTCACACTGGCGAATGTGGTGTCCGTGCTCTGTGTGACGGCTAACAACCCAGGAGCTGTGCTCAGGTGGAATCTGCTGCAGGTTTTGTAATCATTTCCAACCAACCAGATATCCACATCCATTCATTGGTTCTCCTTCACTGCTCCTCTATTTGGCACAGATTGGATCAATGGGTTAATCCGGAAGGAAAGCTATTTCCTTCCTCTAATTGCTGGCATGTGACTAACTAGCCTGAAAATATTGGAGCTCTTCTCCCTGGGAATGTGTGAATAGGGGTTTGGTGGCATCCAACCAACCGGCCAGCATTTCATAGCTGAATGAATGCCCAGAATAGCAGAAGATGTTTGTGGCATTTCAAAGCTTGATCCACTGATACGTTCTACGAGCATGCGACGAAGTTAGGAAATCCATAAGGACACAGTTTGCTTGACACCCACCTGACCATTGTTCTCAGGAACCATGGCCTATTGAAGATGGAGGGCACTGCCTCATCCATGAGCGGGTGCGTCTTGATGAAGTTCAGGGTATCATCAGGAAACTCATTGGAGGTTGCATATTTTTCTAAGGAGGATGAGCCGGCACAGCAACCTGGCCTAAAATGAAACAAAAGGGTAAGCAGGGAGGAAGTTTATTTTGTGCCTTATGGCAAATTCTTTGAATGAACTGCTTCTCTAAGCATCTGGCTTGGAGGAAAACGTACTGCAGCCTGAGAGGAGGAAGTTGAACAATGCAGAATGCCACCAAGTACAATATGCTGAGATTTCCTCTGAGCCGCCTCCTCATTTCATAGAGGAGCCTCAGCCAGCACAGTTCAGCTTCTGCTGGGGGCAGGTTGGCTTCCTCCCAGAAGCACAAACCAACCTCAATAAACAGTGATGGAGCTTGAAACAAGTGAGTGAGTGTGGTTTGCACATATCTTGGGCATAGTTCTACTTATCCAAAAATGCTGCTAGAGATTCTTGACGCATTTACTCTACAGAGGGAGAGAATCAGGTTGATGTTTTCGCAAGTGTAGACAGCAAAGACTCTCCAAAAGTCACCAGGGTACATGCCAGCAAGACTCCATTTAACCATATTTCATTATCTGGGGCTTACTCAGAGAACATTTGGGTTTTGTTTCTTATTGTTGTTTTTATTTTTGTTTGATTTTGGCAAGTACGAAAAGCCAACGATATCAGATTCTTTCCTGAAAGGTCATTTTCTTGTAATTGAATGATGACAGCAAAAATGTGCCACGACAAGATATTCTATGGTTTCAGGAGTCAAGGGTCATCCCAGGAAAGTCAGATCAGGGAAACACTAAAGCCCATCTTGTCCAGACACCTGGTTTGCCTGTGTGGTGCAGGAGAGGCAACTGGACCCTCACAACACCAGCATGAACCACTCCTATGCCCACACTGCCTCAGGCACTAACCCAGCCAGCCCCACAAAAGCATCCTGACTGCTGCAAGAGGGATGAGGCAGGCATGTGGAAGGATGAGGTTAAACTCACTGCCATTAGCAGAAAATCACTTAAAGTGTATGTGCTGGTATTGATTGAGTGACACCATCTTTACTCACCAAGGAGACAGTATGACATAAGAACCTTCTGAAACCCAATCCCTCAGGCTTAACTCCCTTTTCTGCCAATCCAGAAAGTAGTTAACAATCCCAGGCAATGACTTAAGACTATCTCTCTGAGGTTGCTGGGGTATGCTTTCCATACCTAGTCTGCTGTCCATAAGTAACAGGGTATCAACATGCCAGATATCTCAGGTAATGAAGATGGATGAACCACTCAGTGTCTCCTCTGGGTATAAGTGGTTTATATTGTCTAAGTTAGTTCATGTAAGTGTACTTGGCTAGGTATTTTGTGGGAGGACTGCAGGTTGCAGGAGGGAGTTGAAAAAAAATTAGTAACACATTGGGCTTCCTTCCAGAGGCATATAACTCCAGGGGAAGACAGACACCATGGGTTGTTTCTGTGGAACTCGGAAGGCAGATGCTGTGATGGAGGTGTGAGTGTGTGCCACAGACAGAGGCAGGCAAAGGGCTTGGGGGGACTTCTCTCCTGTCCCAGTTAGGATGAATTTGCCTGTTTAGTGCAAGGACTGGAAGAGATAGGACTGAGAGGTGTCTTGGTTGACTCTAGACCACAATAAACCCATGAAAGCAATTCTAAGGCATGATTTGGGTAGAAGGACACTCTGCTGTATCTGGACCCAAAACAGACCCAAGCCTGGCAGACCAGAGACATCTCAGTGGTTCACTGTACCTGCTGGATTCTTCTCACCCATAGTCTGGAGTCCTAGACTCAGCTCTGATCAGCTTGGTCACAAAAGCCAGGAAACACTATTTATATTTCATATTTTATTTGGGATTAAAGACCTGGGTCTCTATAAAATTGAAGGGAAGCAGACAGAAGCAGTGGAAATCATCCCCCCAGCTATGTGAACTTGTACAATACCCTTTACCTCTCTGGGCCTCAGTTTCCCCAACTATAAGCCAATGAGGCCTCAGATGGTTTCATCCACTGTAGTATTATGTTGGATAAATAACATAAATGAAGGTGAAGCAGAGGATTAGAGGAACATAGGTTTGACTATATCAGAAGGTAACTTTGGATTTTGGTTAATGAGATGAAGGCAATCTGCTTGGCTTGCATGGAAGGCACTGGTGTGCAGTTTATGGATGTTTATTATCGGAGGTGCAAGCATTACCATTTCTAAAGTTTAAAATATCCGTATGAATATTTGCACATACCTGGGCTTGGGAACTCGTTCATCTGGAACTGGTGTCCAGGTGGAATCAGGAGACTTCTGTTCCTTGAATCTCCCGGTGAAAACACTGGCAATGTCAAGCATGTCATAGGCACAGACTGCAGACCCAGGGATGCTACAACATGACATTTCACACCAGGTGTTACTCATGAAATGGTTATGCATATGGTATGGAACAAACTCCAGAGAAACTTTCCTATTACAGCAAGTAAAATTTAAAGTTCCTACCTGGACACTATAAATGTAAGGGATCTTAGTACATAAAGAAAAAAATTCTCTCAATCAAATTTGCAACAATTGCCTTAAAGAATAGGCTAGTTATAGCAAGCTCACAGAGACCAAAAAAACCCTTCATGTCTACATTGCCTCGTGAACTGCTTTTATTTATAAAGGAAGAATTGTTGAGCTAGTGATAGAAGTTTCATGAATTCCTTGATACTAATTATCAGCCCAAGACCCTGATGTCTCTGGAGAGCATTCTGTATCACTAATATTGGTGAAAATTTGAAACAAAAGTGCTCTCCCATTGTCCACATCTGGCTTCTTTGAATTTGGTTCTTCAAGCCAACAATCTGAAGGTGTGTAAGAATATGTTTGTGGGGGGAAAAACCCACACACATTTTATGTTAGTCTCTGTACATTTAAATTTTTATCTTCCTGATTATACTTGCATAAGACTAAACAATTTAAGTGTAAAATGCCATCACTTTGCAAATAAAGTACTTTATAAAGTGTTAAATAATATTAATGGCCGTCAGCTCCACCTATAATTATATCCTTGCCTGGCACCCCTGGAAGGACTTAGACTTCCATTTTTAATCAATGGTGGGAAGGAATAAATTATTCATTCATCTGGGTACACTGTTTACATTTGGACACACATTTGTTTTTGACTATAGTTGTTCCTTGATTTTGATCAAATAAATTGCAGGCACCAGCTGGCCAAGAGTTTTAATCAGGCTTCGAGATAGTGCGTCATTACATGGCTAGAACATCCAGGACAAGAGGCATGGGTGCCTCACAGAGCGGCAACATCATCCAGAGAGAATGATTTTGTCTTGATTTTTGCAAATGTTGAACAGATATGAAAATACTTCATAAATGACTAGGAGAATTTCATTCCATCTTTAATTCATAAGAAAATTATTGATGTGTTCCTTAAATAAAGCAAGAAATAGAGAGAAGCTTAAAATGCTTATTTAAAATAAGGTGGCAAAATCAATTTTAAATATATATAAATTTATACATGTATATGTGTTGTTCACAGAAATAAGTGTATAAGACCGTGATTCCCATTTGTTTTGGAATTTCAGAACCTTTGCATTATTTTTTCAATTTTATAAGACTCTTGTCACATACTTCTTTTCTGAAAGTAACACATTTACATATAGTATTTGCCTTATATATTAAGAAAAATAGGATAAATACTGCTTGAAGTATTTTATGATGCACCCCATAATAACTAAAGATATCCTAAGATTTCGTAGTATTCCTGAGGTTAGAATCAGTTGTGAAATCCTTTCTTCTTCGTTCCTTATATTCCTCTCTCCCTCCTTCCTTTCCTTCTTTCCAACCTTCCTTCACTCCTTTCTTCCCATCTTCCATTCATTCAACATATGTTTACTGGATCCCTACTTGAGGCAGTAAGTGCTCCACAAACATCATTGGTCTTGTCCTCAGTTGGCTCACAGTTCAGTGTGGAGGCAAGTATAAGAATAATAACAAAAATAAGGAGAACTGCTTGAGCCCAGGAGGCAGAGGCTGCAGTAAGCAGAGATGGCGACATTGCACTCATTCCAGCCTGGGCAACAGAGTGAGACTCGGTCTCAGGAAAAAAAAAAAAAAAAAAAAAAAAAAAAAAAAAAAAAAAAAAAAAAAAAAAAAAAAGGATAACAACAACAATATCTTCAGGACAATATGGTAAGAACAGAATGTACAAGGAATATGCATAAGGTCCCATGGGAGGTGACTAGCTGACGTTTGAAGCATCCGCAGGGTTTCAGGGAGCAGTCGTTGGTCAGTGGGCACATTCTCGCAGAAAGCAATGAATAGGCAAAGCACGGCACATTCAAAAAGCAGATCTTTACTCTGATCAGCCTGTGGCACCAGCTGCATGGCAGAGGATGGGAGGGGATGAACTAAAGGAGGAAATGGGGCCAGACCCTGTGGGGGCTTGCGTGTCATGCCAAGGAGCTAGGGCTTTATCCTTAGGGCAAATAATGGATTTGAAACAATTCGACATGACCAAGTTTGCTTGTGTAAAGGACAAAGCAGAGAGGGATGAAACCAGAGAAAGTAAAAACAGAGGGACTATAATTTAGAGATGACAGTGGGTATGCATATGTTTAGGTGGATGTTAGATTACAAAACAAATATGATTTCTGAGACTGCATAAGCATGCACTAAGTAGACGTTTCTTAGGGGCCATTTAAGAAAATACTTTAGATGAAATCATCTATAACAGTCAAGGGCTTATTACTATATTGTAGTCACAAAGTAACCCACATCCTTAAAAAAACAAGGCAAAACAAAACAAAAACTAGAAATGTGCTCTTAGATTCCATCAGCCCTGCATTTCCATGTGCCAAGACAGTATACTTTTTCAAAATTCTAGAGACGTGTTCTGATGTATGAGCAATTAAGGCCTGAATTTTTAAATACCGTTTCTATCCTCAAGTCTAAAAATCGCTACAGATGTTTAAAGCTTACTTAAATCTAACTGAGTACTGCTTGATGCAATACGGGTTTATATTTTCGTATTATTTCCAGTGGGGAGCTTGACTCTTGTCCTCTGTATAATTGAGGAACATGATTTCATCCTTCATGATGGAGGCTCTTTTCTGGGCTCCACTCAGTTCCTAAATATTTCCTTCTAGATGCTATCCCTCCAGTTTTATCATTTTGTTCCAGTCATTTAGGCACTCATCAAGTTCTTAAAATCTTTGTAAAAAGATTAATTCAAAGCAAAACAGTGTATTGCTAGAGGAAGATATTCAATACAGAACACCCCAAATTCTGCATAGAAATGAGAACACAGCACATGAATTTAGATTTCACGACCACACACACAGTTAGGATCATTTTCACACAATAGTATTAAGATGCTGAAATCTTGTTGGCTTCACAGAGAGCTGAGTACCAAGGAAAACCACTAATGCTTATTTTCCTTCTGTTCTGTACACATTTTCACTGCTCTAGGAACAATTATTGGTGCATCATTTAGTTGCTTGAAGTCTTAGCTTTAACTAGATACAAAAACAGGAGTGACTAGGCTGACACTCATAATTTGTATGTACAATATTTGACGATTTACAAATTCTCAGTAGAGCGTCCAGAGTCAGACTATGATGCTGCATCTGGGGTCTGAGCTGTGGCCCAACTTGCTGAGTGAGCTTGCCCAAGGATGACTTCATTGGACAGGACAATAACCAAAGTCCCTTAGAATTCATTTGAATCCTAGATTTCACCCCATAGCATTTTAATACATTTCCAATGTTTTTACTTCAAAAGATTTGATCCAGTCATGAGAATATTAAAAGTCAAATACTGCAAATTATTTGATGACCTGGAAGAGACAGGGAAAACATTCTTGACTTCCAAAGCTGCCTCTTCCAGCTACTGACTACTTGGACCAGGTAGTACAATATGTTGAACTCAGTTTCCGTAAGTGGAAAAAGAGGACAATATTATCTAGTTTCTAGGATTACTGGATGGGTTTAGAAATAATACATAAAAAGTGTTTATATACCAGGCTTATATAAATAGAAGATGTTGTTATAATTTATTGAACTACTTCTCCTAAAACCTAACCTAATAGTGCTTATAAACTATTAATTTGTTGATGAAAACTAAGTGTTAAGTGCTTCTTAAGCTACACACAGTGAATGCGATTTTCAGTCAGTTGCAAATATTGTTTATTAGAAGAGAACCCCCTGGGAGAAGGAAGCCAGGAAAAATTGATGAGGTCAACACAGCTAGGGCATGATTACCTGTTATAAGGTGTAGAAAAGGTTGCCAGGACAACATCACGCCCATTGATATGAATCACATCTGTAACTGCCTGGAGAATGTTGAAATAAAAATGAGAGTCTCCAGGAACTGAGCAGTTCAGACGCGCCTTCAGGAATGATGTCCACTGTTTCTCCAGGACTCTTTGAGATCCTCCCATATCATTTTTACAAACCTGAGCCACTCTTGGGAAAACTACCTGTAAATGAAAAACACATAGGGAGAATGAAATGCATTCATTTTGCAAGGAGATCTTAGTAGAACTTGCATCCCTTGAAAACAGAAACAAAACAACAAGGTGCTTAATTTAATACTGTTTCTAAAATCAGTAGCAAAAAAAAAAAAATAAAAAGAAAGAAAGAAAAGAAAAAAAAAAGAGGAAAACTCAGCATTGGAACAGCATGTTTTAAAAGATAAGGCTGTGGCATTTAATACAGAGCCATAAATCCTTCAGGGAATCAACTCCCAGCCACATAAACTCATTTCCATACAGACTGCTTAGCTTTTTATTTCCTCAAACAAAAGCACACTTTGTATGCACCATCTCTGCCATCCTCGCTAGCTGTCTCTGGGTCCTGAATCTGTGCAATCAACCCTGGCATTCTATGCTGCCCTCCAACTTAGGGACCTTGATCCACTCTCTGGTAAAAATAATAAAAATGGACATCCCCTAAGTGTTGTATTGCTTTTTACAATAAAGACAAAAAATCAAGACTCAATTTGATTAAAGATACTGGATATTTACAGTCTCTGTGAAGCAACTCAATTAAGGAAAAAAAAAACTGTTGAATATATCTGGAAATCACATCTCAAGACACTTGAATCTTGGACCAGGTGTGGGGGCTCATGCCTGTTATCCCAGCACTTTGGAGGGCTGAAGCGGGTGGATTACTTGAGGTCAGGAGTTTAAGACCACCCTGCCAACATGACAAAACCCCATCTCTACTAAAAATACAAAACTTAGCCAGGCATGGTGGTGCATGCCTGTAATCCCAGCTACTCAGGAGGCTTAGACAGGTGAATCACTTGAACCTGGGAGGCAGAGGTTGCAATGAGTCGAGATTGCACCACTGTGCTCCAGTCTGGGCAACTGAGCAAGACCCCGTCTCAAACTAAACAAATAAATAAAATAAAAAGATACTTGAATCTCAGCATGAATGAACGTCATCATGAAACCAACCAAACATAAATTTTCAATAGAAATTCTTAAGAAATTTCCTGTGATTTGTTACCGTTCTGTAAAAGCAGATAGGGCTTCCAGACTGCACTCTGTTATTAGATTTACGGTTCTCATTTCAAGATCATTTATAACATTGTCCAAAGGTGTGGGTTTCTGAAAATGTAACAAAGTGAGCCAGGGACAGCATCCCCTCTTACCTTTCCCATGGTGTTATACTCCACTGCTATTTCCCTGAAGAAGAAGTAGATATAATCTCCATAATCCACGGCTTGAACAAAGTATGGTTCTGTAGACAAACAGGCACTTTAATTGGGAACATGTCACACAGAGTTAACAGAATTTCAATCAAGTGCAGCCAAAGACATGTTATTAATTAAAAGTGTAGGGCCATTAGACATTTGGTTAACACTAACCATTTCTAATGACTTCACACATGCAGGTGCTAGTGATTTCACAAGGCATTCACACTTACAAATTATATATTTCAGAAGCTTTGCAATCAACAGTGAAGAATTGCCAAGTTATGCATATCTCTGTAATTTTATTTTCCACAATGGAATGCGCCTATTACAGAGAAGATTCTGTATACGTTGCCTCGTCACCCTGCCTCATGTAGGGTTGTGAATAGCTTTTCTCCTCTTCCCCACCACCTCCAAGCCCCAGTCCCCTTCTATGAATGCATTGTTCAGTTCTTTTCATGTGGGACTGTGAAATGAGGGTTTGAAACAAGGGAAGATGAATGTAATGTATTCTATTGTTGTGGCATTGGTAGTTTTGTTAATGCTTCAGAAACAGGGGAAGGAAAAATGGGAGGTAAATAAATCAGTTGAAGCAAAAGATGCAATTTACATGTTTCTGTCTGTCAGAAGCCATTACTAAAATGAGCCTACAGTCTGGTCCCTCCGGACTCTAAATCTCCCACAAGATGTACATTCCTCTCCCCTCCGACCTTCCTTCTTTTAATTGTTTGTTCACCTTTCAACCATTTTGAATCGTGCTTGACGGTCCGCAGGGTAGGGCTGTCTCCAAGACTCCGGTAAATGACTGCGTCAATGGCAAGGAAGTCCGTCACTGTGGCTGAGTATAGTTTTCCGTCTTAGAAGAAAAAGAAAAGAGGTGACAGGGTGGGAGTAAGTCAGTGGGGGCGGAGGAATAATAAAGACATCCCCTAGATTGCTTTCCTACATCAGGCAAATGAGATAGGACAACTGGGAAAAATCCAAGAGTCACTGGGAAAACTCTTGGCCCACATTCCCAACCATTTTAAAGTGGGATCATGAGAGATGAAACATTTTTCACTTTTAAATTGCATGGCAATTTTATGAAGCAGCAGCAGCTCAGGGAACAGGGTAAATGAAAAATGTTTGCTTCACTTGATTAGCTGGACCTTGACTGAAACCTTGAGGCCAAGGACCCTTGGACACTACCACACCATGGTAAACCGGATTAGGTGAGAACCCAGGGAAAGAGCTGCTGATTGTGTCTCCAGAAATTTTAAGCACATGCATTAAGTAAAGGAGTCCTCAGCCTGATCAGGCGAGGGGAGTTGAAGAGAGAGCGTTCATAAGCAAAACAGGGGCTGACTAAATTGCTACCGTCCTGGGAGTCACAGCTTCTCTTGACCTCAGGCATGACAGTTCACTAAACTCTGGCAATCTAGCTTCAATAACAGATATTTGCTTTGGTATCTCCAAAGTTACAAACTGAAAACATTCTGAAATAAAACATGCTACAGCAAAGAAGAAAGGGGAAGGGGTGATGCTTAGTTCAAATAGGTCATTCTTTAATAATTCATATTTTGGGGGAGATATGACTGGGGGTAGATCCCAGGCAAAAGAGAATAAAGCAGACTGAAGATTAGTCTCTAGACCTTTTGGTTCCCTCCTGGCTTAGCAAACACTCTGCAAACAAATAATCAAAATGGGGTATTCTACAATAGCAAAATCTATGTTGCTAAATGGAAACAAGAATTATATCCAAAATTAAAAAAAAAATTACTTCCTCAATTCACTTTTAGTGGATTACATATATTTATTAGTTGTATGTCAGAGTGACTTATACACAACATAGTTCTGTTCAAGCTCTTTTACATGTAGTATTTTTGTAGTTTGTTTAAAAAAATATTGAAACATACTTAAACAAATATCTTGATGTCTGTCTTTGGTCTTAAAATAACTAAAATGTGCCCAGCTTCAATTTAGAGATGTTTTAATATCTGCAACGTTAACAGCTATATATCTATAAGTGTTGACTATTTTGGTAGCTTTAAACTGCAGACAGCAAACCTTTAAATTGGCCCAGAAAATACCTATGAATCATAACTTTTCTTATGGATTTTGGGCCTGAGATCATAAAAACATTCTTTATATATTTATGACTATAGAATATATATTCTATATTCCTATAGCCCCAAGCCATACAGATATACATGGGTAGTGGGAGAAGTCAAAGGGGGTGTAGGTAGTGGTGATGGCTATTGCTCCTAACTATTCTCCAAAGCTCTTTCTGTTTTACATCCTTATAAAAACTGGGTATCTCACCAGAACATCTACTTGCAGAACAGAATACTTTTCTGTCACTTTTTTTTTTTTTTTTTTGAGATGGAGTTTCATTCTTGTTGCCAAGGCTGGAGTGGCACGATCTCAGCTCACCACAACCTTCGCCTCCTGGGTTCAAGCGATTCTCCTGCCTTAGCCTCCTGAGTAGCTGGCATTACAGGCATGCACCACCATGCCCAGCTAACTTTGTATTTTTAGTAGAGGTAGGGTTTCTCTATGTTGGTCAGGCTGGTCTCGAACTCCCAACCTCAAGTGATCTGCACACCTCAGCATCCCAAAGTGGGATTAGAGGCATGAGCCACTGTGCCCCGCCTCTGCCACTCTTAGTAATATGATACCATTCATTTGCAATGAGGATCTCCTATTAATAAGGGCCGGACTTTTATGAATTCAAACACTTAAGTGAAAATCTATTTAGATATAACACTAGAGGTGGGGACAGTTATAATATTAACTCATGTGGCTTGCTCTGTATAGCTCCTGGAAACTTGGTGGCCATAGTAAGTTCTCTGCCCATTCTACCTTTTCTACCTTAGGCTACACAGTAAGTCTTATTTTTAGTTTACATTTAAATTATGTTTTTATTTCATTTTATTGAGACAGGCTCTCCTGTCACCCAGGCTAGAGTGCAGCGGCTCAATCATAGCTCACGGCAACCTCAACCTCTTGGGTTCCATGCCCACCTAATTTTTTTCTTTTTTGTAGTGTTGGGGTCTCCCTATGTTGAACTCCTGGGCTCAAGCGATCTTCCCACCTTGGCCTTCTACAGTGCTGGGATTACAGGTGTGAGCTACCACTCCTGGCCCTACAGTTAAATTTAAATTCTCCCCTGCAGCCCACGTTCTCCAAGGTCCCAACTAATGCAGGTTCCACGTGTCAGTGAGGGCCTGCAGCAGTACTCGTGCACTTGGGAATATGCTCGAGTACTCTCTCCACTGGCCTCGCTCATACCTTACAAATAGGTCTGAAAGACTTTGTATTCTTGACAGAACTGCTTCTCAGTAATACTGTGCTCTCATTTAGGGCGAGAATTCAAGGAACCTCCCGGCCTTAACTCAACAATCTGTCGCTGCAGATTCAGGCCCACAAATGGATGACACTGAGGGAAAGGTTCAGGAAGCAAGGAACTGATCTTGTTTCATAATCAAAGCCCTAGGGCCCCTCATCCAGCTAGTATGTGCCAGTTTTTAGCTGTTGTGATGGAAATTATAGCTAACTGCTTTATTACATGCTATAACAATCACTATTATACCAACGCCTCTCTCTACACCCACCTCCTCATACGCAGCTGGTAATGAATTCCTAAATAAATTTCTAATTAAAGCACACAAACTCAAATACAAAAATCCCACTAAATCTGAAAATGATGGTCTGTTTGCTATTTCTTTCTGTCTTTTGCAGCGGAAAGAAGGGGTGGTGTTGGGGAATAGAGGTCACCCTAAGCAATCGGCCCCCTCCCCTCAGCCACCCCATATTTCGGTCAGAGATGGGCGTGTAACCTAATCAGGTCAATGCTATTTGAAAAGATGTCTGTTGGAAGCTTGTAGGTATGCGGCCTCATTGCCCTGAGAGAGTTTCCAGAAGCTTCCTTTTGTTTCTTTCCCTTTCTCTTCTATATGTGGACAAGAAGACATGTAGCCCTAATTGGGGTTGGCAGCCATCCTCTGACTGTGAGAACCGCCTGTCTCACCATGAGGTCGACGCAGAGCATGGGAATGCAAAGGAGCTGCCTCCCAGACAACACTGTTGAGCTACTGAATCTAGCCAACCCCAAGTCCACCCTGCCTTAAACAGCAAATGCACATCAGTGGGGGCTTTTAAATTTAAATTTCATTTTATTTATTTTTTTACATTGGTGGTTTGGGGTGGGATTTTCTATTATTTGAGCCCAAAAGTGCCCTAATTGATTTGCCACATGTTCAGTCCTATGCTGTTATCCTTTCCTAAAGGCACAAAAGCATGGGTAAATGGGGCAAAGACTTTTTTTGAGAAGCAAAAGTACAATTTTCATACTAATTTCAAACGGAAAGGCATTCTTAATTACAGTATTCACCAGAGACTCAAAGCACAACTGTGATTCCATGAATCCTCCAGAGCAGATTCACAGCGACAGGATGAAACATGCAAAAGCAAATGCAACGAGAAGCAATCAGGTGGCTTACCTGCAAACAGCGCAATGTTGGCGTGTTTGGCATCGTAAGGGCATCTGGCCATTCCGCTAAATTCATCCCCGAATGATTCTAATGTATCCATCTGAACGAAATAATAGGACTTAATTACAAACAACAACCAACCGTAGTGTTGCTGTTTTGTCCTAAACCCTCAGAAATTATTTTCAGGAGGTGGCAGGCCATTTAAAATCTGTAACCACTTTGAGATAGCCCCTGTTGGAGCCACTGTATATTTTTTAAGCTATACTTGAGAATTACATAAAATAGCCGTGTTAAAAACATGTATTTTTAGGGAAGAGATGGTTGAATCAGACATGTTTCTGAGCAGTGTACTCTTCCACCCAGCACATTTTTTTATGGAAGTCTTTTTCAGATATTTTATACCAACCAAGAGCTTTCTGTTGAACTTTGAGAGACTTTGTGGTCTGTGGGTCTGGCATGTATTCAAAAATGATACTTAGCACACAATGATGCAACCGAAATGCCCTTATCCCAAGCTGCGCACGCTCTAATCCTAGCAATGAGGAAACAATAGACGCGGGGTGTATGGTTTTCTTTATAATGTACCTAATCCTAAAAAATAGTGATTATAGCTACAGCTAGTCAAAGGCAAGAAGCAGCGAAGAACAGATGTTTCGGTTTGCGACACTGGAAAGGTCCAGAGACAAAGCAATGCCGTGGGGAATTCCTCTTTCCATGAAGTAAAAACCAACCCTTGAAGCAGTCATGAAATCTTAGACTTCACAGCAGCTCCTGGGAAATTAAACCACTATCGGGTACAGATAAGTATACAAAGACCTAGCCTGAGTTTTGCAAAAGTTCAAGAGGGTTAGAGTATAGGAGAAAAAAGGTAGGGAGCGGAGTTTTAGATTGATAGTGGGTAGCCTTTAAATCTCCCCCCCAGATAATCTTAATAATCGAATTTGGGACTATAACCTTTCTAACACGTTCAGCTTACTTGTGTTATAAAAATTAATATAGATCAGGGCATGGCAGAGAGGCAGATAATGAAAATTGATCACTCTCTTGCTTCATGTCACTCTAATCAACTTAATGCTTGTGTGCTATGATAAGACTTGGGTTTTTCAGTGGAAGAGTGGACATTGTTTTCCCTTTGAACCATTGTCCTGATCTGTTGATAAAAAGCACTTAAGAGAGAAGCTGTCATTCTCCCTGCAGCCAAATACATTATGTCCCATATGATCAGCAATGTCACGCTGTGCCCTGAGTCTAAAAATATACTTTTCTGAGCAGTGCTAAGGGTTCTTACTACCATTCACAGTGCTAGGCGGATTGTTGGGAACCGAGCATGAGCAACAGCTCATCTGTGGCTTCTAAGAGGCCTGGGCTCCCGGAGCATGTCTTAGCAGGTGTGGCTGGAACAAGCGAGAGGTGACGGCACTACCACAGGTGTAGAATCGTGGGAACATGTACATGAAGAATAAGCCAGACAGCTCATGGCCTGTATATCACAGTGCCAAGAAAACCTGTGATTTGTCATAAAACATAGCTTTCCAACTAAGGAATTCCTTGGGATTTGTTAGAAGCATTAATCTTAATGAGTCCTAAACAATGACAAACAGGGATGGAATATTAAGTGGCAAACGAAAGTTGAAGCCTTAGCTGTATGCCGTCACTGGCTAGAGTAAATACTGGGCTAGACTGGCTACCTCTATTATAAATGGATGGATCTTGTCTCTATACTTAAAAACTTGATCTTTTGTTTATGACAGACCTTTATGTACTAATTTTGATTTGTTTAAAATACTGCATTAAAAATCTAACTTAATTACTGAATCTTTTGATGCCCCTTCTATTTTATGCCGAGACATGTCCCTTGCTGTCTCCACCCTAATCCTGGCCCTCTTGGTGCCCATTTCCAAGTGTAAGAAGGAAGATGAGTATGAGGGTCAAATAGACCCTCCCTTCACTGTCCGTGCCAAGAAAAGGCAGGGGGTCTTTCTGGTGTGCTTGCTGGTGCTGATTCCAGCCCATTATTGCTTTTCTCATTCTTCCCACTCTTAGGGTTTCACTTTATGATGATGGAACTCAAATCTGTATTTCTCCCCATATTCTCTCTAAATCAAAGCTTACCGATCCATCCTCTTGCTAGATAGCCCTATGCATGTCCCATAGGCAGGGATCTGCACAGTGCCTGGCACACTCATAATGTGCAAAACGGAGCCTTCACCTTCACACTCTCCCGATCCCAACCTCATGGCTCTTCCTTTATTTCCTGTCTGAATTGGTGGCGGCCCTATCCATCTAGTCACCAAGAGATGGCCTAGCAGTCATTCTTGACTTGCCTCTCTCTCTATCCTGTGCTTCTTATCAATTATTAAATCCTACCAGTTTTTGTCACTTCAGTATTTCCTGAATCTATTCCCTTCCCTTCATCCCTAGGGCCATCTACATCTCAAGCTTCTTTCTGTTAACACTTGTCATTTCACAGTCCCACAATTCAGAACCAAATGATGTTTCTCAGGCTCAACAGGCCATTTCTTACTCCCTGCCTTTGTTCATGCTGTTCCATGCTACCTGGAATGCCTTTCTTCCTTCATTTGGCTAACTTCTCCTTATCCTATAAGACAAACGTTAGGCATTACCTCATTCAATGCTTCACAAAAATTAATTAAACACCTGTTTGGGAGATATTATGTTAGATTCTGGACAATCACAGATGTGATCTCTTGTAGAGCCTGTGTTTTTTAAGGGCGGGAGTATTTGTGGTTCCAGGTATGAGAACAACCGGTAGGAAAGTTTGATGACAGGGGGTCATCTATCCAGTTCTGATGCTTTCCCAGACTCCTCTCCTCACGTATGGCAAGAACTTTTGTGTTGTGCTTCCATAATTCATTGCGTGATGTCACCATGGCAGCAACCCTATGGAACTGTAGTTTTCTTTTCCCTGCCTGGCTTCCTGAAGGGTGGAGGCCTCCTATCTATCTTTACAACCTCAGCACTAGGCCACAGTAGGACCGCAGTACATGTTTGCTGAGAGAAAGCCTGCAGGAGGATGTACAAGGAAAGCTAACAGTGGTGCAGCCAAGACCTCAGATCGCTGTCACCTCTGCTTCCATGCCTGGCAAAGTCCCTGCTCCTTCATCAGCATTTCTATTAGCTGCATCAAAACCAGCTAGATTTACTAACTCTTTAAGAGGGTCCCCCCCAACCCCCTCATAAAACCAAGGTAAGTAAGGCCGTGGTCAAGAAAGCTGAGTGCTCAATGGAATTAAATTCCCGTGTTCTTGCAGGAAAGTCTACGGTTTCAAATGGCATGCTTTTGAGATACCTTTTAGAATAGAAATTTCTCACCATATAACTGTGCCTTTGTGCTCAGAGGGTAGATAGTGGGGTGAGAGAGAGAAAGAAATAGAGAGAGAGGAAATCCACATGGTGTACGTGGTAAGCATGTTAGCCTTCTGAACAATAGAGAAAAGGGTCTTACAGAAACTAACTTTGCTAGGCAGGCTCTTTAAAGATGTGTCAATCAATCCTGAACAAACAGGAAGCTTAGAAGCCTGCTCAGGATCACTCATGTGGAGCAATACATTAAGTTGAACAACTGAGAGGAACTCAGGTGGTGTTGAATTGCCCCTCTTAGGTTGCTGCAGGTACAATCACAGTAAATTATGAAATGCCTCCTGGCAGTGTGGTTCCAACCAACAAATAGCATTTACCTTATAGTTTCTGCAGGAAGGGTTGAAGGCATTAGTTCCACAGACAAACAATGCATCATCGGTTTTCTTCAGAAGAACTTTAATAAAGTTGTGACACTCATCCTGAAAAATAATTCAAACTGTTTTGTATTGTGTCCATTCAATACAGAAACTGATTCTTCACTGTATGCCGTGGTTGACTGACAGTATGGTTAAAATGGAGGTGGGTGAGCACTTCTCCCATTAAAAGTTCAAGTTCCTCCTGATGTGAACCAGAGGTGATGCCGACATCAACCATTACTCTTTCAACAGCAAATAAAAACAAGGCATAGAATGAAAGAGTATGTGTTTACTTTATGTCACAAAAGGAAGGCAAACCTGGAAGTGCCAACCTCTCAGCATATTAATTTTAATGCCAGATGCCCCAGCGTTCCCTGATGTACAAAGCTGCTGGCTGAAGTGTGTTTTTATGTTGTTATACGACCACAGGCACAAAACCCCGCATATCTGTGCAGCCTTTTATGAGCTCTTCCCCAGAATCCCTGTGGGCCTTGGACTACAGAGGTGGGCATCGGAGTGCACTTAGAAGACTCCGGGCAGCCGGCTTTGTGTCCATAATCCTGTGTGCGCCTAAGTAGTTCATGATGCAGGGCTAGCAGCTGTTGTAATGTTTCATCACATTAAAAGCAAACTATTTTTGCAAATTAAAGCCTTCAATAAGTTGATGGAAAAAGCAATTACTGGGCGAAAAGGGAAAAAGCACAATTCATTCTACATCATGGTCTACGGCGGGAGATAACAGTCAAAAACTTAACCCAAAGTGGCAGCTGCAGGAGAAATGAAAATTGCCTACCTTATGTTTTCCCTTCATTCTGCATGTGTCTACATCAGCCTGTCTAGATTTCCATGTCAGTTTCTGCAGGGATCAAGAAAGAAATCAATTAGAGCCCAGAGGTTGTTGCATTTGATTTTAGAAGTAAGAGTTCCCTTGGGGAGACTAAAGGCTGAACATATATTTATTGAAAGCTTTCTGCACCCTTTCTCCATGATTAATTCACCATAACAACAAAAGATTCCAGATGAAAACGTTCGTTTAATTTGGAACTCCTATCTATTCATTAAACCACAAAATGGTCTTCTTCTGTTTGAGATAAAGATGAAGGAGAAAGGAAAGAAGAATAAATAACAGCGTGGAAATTTCATGTAAACTCTCCAGATTAATTTGCTAAATTATGATCATTTTGATAAAATATATGTCCTTGCCCTTTCCTTTCAGTTGATAAATCAATTTTTATAAAGAGGGCTTTTTTCTTAAAATATGGAAGTCATTTTCTTAAACATAAAGAGGACATTCACTCCAGGTGGACAAAGATTTAATTCAGGTTATACTCCTTCCCATAGACTAATGGACTGAAGGGATCTTCTACTTCTATGGCATAGGTTTTATTAACCAAAATACCCCATGTGGAGTTGTAAGGAAAGCTTAGGTTATACTTTACGTCTGTCTGAAATGGGTAACGATCAAGTTCCTGAACCACAACAGTCAAATCAAACTTAATACTGCAAGACATGGAAATATAACATTGAAACCTTTGTAGAATATATTCGTGGAACAAAATTTTACTTATGAAAACTGATGATTTCCTTGATACATGAGGCAATAGTTTTATTAAAGAAATGTAGAAATTACCTAAAATTCCAAAATGCATATGTACACATATATTTGATGAATAAAATATGAAGTACATAAACTGTTCCTGAACATGTATTAAATCCTAACCTGTTCCCTAATTAGGATTTCACAAAATGCATGTCGCCATCTCTAAGTTACGATTAGCCACATAATCTTAATCAATGCACTTAAAATACATATTCTGTTCAAGAACTATCCAAAGGTCCTTTATTTTACAAATATGGTTTTAAAACAACTTACTTTGCTACAATAAATTTCTTCCGTGTGTGATGTGTCTATATCAACAGTATAAATATGGTCCCTATAGACAAAGAAAAATAATATAAGGTCAAACAGAGTCAAAACAGTTCATTTTCTGCTTAATGAGTTATGTCTTATCAGGACAGATAAGTCCATATCCATGTTCTTAGAAAAACATGATATCCACATGCAAGAAGAAAAGAGTGCAGCCTTGGAGAGATGTCTCCAGATCCCATCTAGCACCTTCTGATAAATCACGGCATTGTGCTCTAAGGGACACCTTCATGGAAACTTTCCTGTATTAGCTCTTCTCTCTGACACTACAACTACAGCATCTGCATATGTGTAGCTCAGAAGGGAGGGCTCTGAAAGTTAAATTGGCCCAAAGACTAGAACACAAACGGATTCACGTGCCCTTTCATTACCTTCAAATACACGTACCAAATACTTGGTATTCAACATGCCACATTTGTTCATCGAGAGGGCTAACAAAAAACTGATCTCCATCTTTCTTTTAAAAATATATTTCCATCTTAACTTTAATTATTTGATCGACAGGATGGAAGATGATAAAGGTAAAATTATTTCCAGAAGCCACTCTTTTCCTCATAATGATGGTCAATTGAAGTCTAAAATGTACTTGAGCTAAAGTTTACATTTCTTGCTTCTGTTCACCTTCCTGTTTTGCCAAGAATTTGGTTGTCTTTACAATTTGCTGCCAATCTAGCTTTGTAAGGGGAGAAAGAATCAGCAGCTCAGGTGTGGGGCTATATTTAAACATCCCCTTCTGTGTGAGCTGAGTACAAGGGCGTTTTTGTCTGGAATTCATAAGAAAGAAAAGAAAAGAACTACACTCAACAGAGGAGATGGGGGGCTAGTGAGGGAAAGCAAAACAGCTCATTTTCCCTTGAAATAACATTGACTTTTTCTAAAATGCAGGAAGTCCTGGGGCTGGAAAATTACCCACAGCTTTAAACCAGGACCTCAAGTCTCCCATGCAGACTTTTAAGCCCCCTTGTTACTTAAAAGAAAAAGCAGGGAGAAGAAAAGAAAGGAATTATTTGCAGGATTCACTTCTATATATATATATAATGTTTTTCAGTTCTTGGGAAATCTGTTTGCTTCTCGTTTTAGGAAAAACACAACAGAGAAAAATAACAGGCCGTCTCACGTGAAAATAAAAGTAGCGGGAAGGGTAGCTGGCTTAGAAAACTCCCTTGCCTGCTACTTGTGTGTGTGTGTGGAGGGAAGGGTGTGGGGGAGGAGGGCGTGGTAAGGGGTTGAGGAATAGGGGCCTTTTTTGTAAATTGCTGAATTGGAAATTTCTTTAAACTTCAGTAGGCTGCCAGAATCGCCCTGCCCTTTAATTTCAAGGCAGTTTTACTGCATTTGTTTATTACTTGTTTGACTTTATTGGTGGTGCTGTGGTCAGACTCATTATTGGAATGGAACTGCCTATTACTTTGGTATCAGGTTTGAGATGACTGGAGGCTTTTCCTTGCCTGCTTCCCCTCAAAACTTAAGTTGAAGCTGAATATATGAATTGTAAATGAACAACTGATTAATATGCATTGGCAGCTCCTCAGAAAGCTCTCAGATTGCCCCCTTTTGGCATGGCCTGTTTATGTTAATTAGCAGTTTAGAGATTAAAAAAGAAGAGGAATTTACAAAGTGGATAATAATAAAGCAAAATTGGAAGGGGTTCTTGCCACCAACCCTCACTCAGTCCCCCGGGTTCTGGATGGGACTTGGCTTGCGATTGCTGACATCAATTGTCTAGAAGAACTGGGAAGCCTTTTAAACATAGAATTCTATGAATGAAATCTTCTCTTGGACAATGACAATCTTTTTCGATATCCAAAAGCTCACATGGCTCTCGCAAACAAAAATGGTGCTTTATGGTAAACCACAGACCAGGGGTCATTCCCAACCATCTGCGTGTGCATGCATCCCAGGCCTCATACGCTGTTCTTCCTGAATTAAGTTATTTGAACATAAACTGACTTAATCCTAGGACTTCCTCTTCCCCCTCCAGCAAGCACCACTGAATTGTGTTGCCATGGCTTGAGCCTGGGGGGGATTTAGCTTTAAATTGTGTTACTTGCTGCCTAGAAACCTGGATCTCTCAGAGCAATGTTGGGAAGTGTAAAATTAAAGTGTAAAATTAAAAGAAGAGAAGAGGCCCTAAAGATGGTGGGCACGGAACTCCTTCAGGAATTTTTTCTAAGGGTGTGTATTGAGAGAAAGTGGCTGCGTATGGTGTGAAAGCCAACATGTCAATGCTACAGTGATACAAAGTCAATGCTACAGTGATACGAACTTGACCTTTAATGAAAGATGCGTTTCACAGTTTCAAAAAAATTAATGTGTTTCTTCTTATTATCCTATTTCTTCTTTTCCTTTCCTTCCTTGGGGTGAGGAGTTAGAATAAAACTGTCTTGGTTCCTGGAATAATGATCACTTTTAAGTCTGCATAGGACCTTGCTCCTAACACTCGTGTAGCGCAGGGACCTGCAGTCCACACCCTGCTAAATCATCAAATACCAGGGCTGTCTCTTATACCATTTTTTCCCCCAGAGACTCAGTTTGCAAAGTGAACAATTCACAAGAGATTCTTGAGTCAACCTATTTCTCACAGATTCAGTGTTTCATCATTTGTTTTGATTGGACCTTAGATAATTGAGTACTAATGTCATTTTCTAATCCTACTACATTTAGGAAAATAAAAATGACATTTAAGGAGCTGGTATTCTATCAGAGAGGTGATTATTGAACATCTCATTGAAATGCTTTATAATGAATACCCATAATGACCATGTTCTTGGGCAACAGCTATCAGAAGGGCATTATCAAGACAAACAGTATCAGCTCTATTCCTTAGCATGCAGCACAGTACAGGGAATGACAGCATGGACTCTAGAGCAAGACCATCCTGGTTCAAATCCTGCCTCTGTCATTTTGACCCCGTCATTTCACCTTTCTGTCCCTTGGATTCCTCCTATAAGACATGTGAATAATTATAGCTCCTTCTTATAGGGTCATTTCCAGAACTGAATGAATTAACATTCATAAAAAACCTACAGCTATGTTTGTTAATTGTATGCGCACAGCATACTTGTATATATTATGTAAGTATTTGTAAAGTAAAACTTTAAAAAAGTATTTGGACATTGCTCCCTGTGGCCAAGTTAGGGGCACTCTCAGAACGTTTTAATGTAGCCTTTTTTTTCTTTATGTTGCAAAGCTTATCACCTCAGAACATCTGAGTGCTTTAGAAGAATCAACCACTATTATTATTTACTTGTTCTTTCCTTATGCCATATAGAAACATAATCTGCATTTCTAGGACAGGCATTGTGGTGTACACCTGTTATCCCAGCACTTTGGGAGGTTGAGGTGGGTGGGCCACTTGAAGGTCAGAAGTTCGAGCCTGGCCAACATGGTGAGACCCCCGTCTCTATTAAAAATACAAAAATTAGCTGGATGTGGTGGCATGTGCCTGTAGTCCCAACTACTCAGGAGGCCGAGGCAGGAGAATTGCTTTAACCCTGTTGGGGAGGAGGAGGTTGCGGTGAGCTGAGATGGTGCCACTGCACTCCAGCCTGGGTGACAGACGTGAAACCCTGTCTCAGAAAACAGCATAAGCTCCATTTCTTCTCCCCAGTGTGAAATGATTAAACAGTGTAGTGCCAGGAAAGACCACAGGGAACACCATAAGATAGTGCTCCCAGTTGCCCTTCATTTGGAATTATTCTGAATAGCTACACACGCCCAAAATGGAGGAACATATGTTGTTGAAATCCTAAGGGACTTCATTAAGGTCATCAAATACAACCTCTCATTTGGCAGAGGATACTTATGGCCAGAGAAGTCGTGGTCTGGCTAAATTAACGGCAGAATTAGAACAAAAGTCTGAATATATGTCAGCCCTGTTTGAACAGTATTCATACCATGCCATTCAGCCTTAAGACGTCAGTCTGTCTGTCTAAATAACATTTCCCCAATGGATTTTTTTTTTTTACTAAAACCAAATAAAAACCTTCTAAAATATATATTATGCTTTCTTTGGTTGTCATTGCCATTCTTTCATAGTAATGATCTATATTATCAATGATATATATGTTAACTGCAAAAATACAAATAGGTTAAATACACACACCTACATTCATACTATATAATACATGTTTACACATTCAACTTAATTTAACAAACAAGGATTAGACCAGATGAGGTGGCTCATGCCTGTAATCCAAGTACTTTGGGAGGTCGTGGTGGGTGAATCACCTGAGGCCAAGAGTTCAAGACCAGCCTGACCAACATAGTGAAACCCTGTTCCCACTAAAAATACAAAATTAACTAGGTGTGATGGTACATGCCTGTAATTTCAGCTACTTGGGAGGCTGAGGCAAGAGAATTGCTTGAACCCAGAAGAGGGGGGCTGTAGTGAGCTGAGGTTGCACCACTGCCCTCCAGCCTAGGCAACAAGAGTGAAAACTCTGTCTCAAACAAACAAACAAGTATTGAGGAGCAGAGCATTCAAATGGGTGCTTGCATAAACTCTTGCCTATCTGTTCAAAATAAACAGTGGATAATTTGAGTGTAAGTGCCCCAATATGCTATTATTTCTATTTAAGTCCTCATAGGGTTAAACAGACGCAGGCAATTTTGAAATAATGATAGCTTGACAAATTTAAGGAGCCTTTAAATTAAATAACACTCTATTTAGAAACCTCAAGATCTTAAAAATAATGCATAGCTGGTAAATTGAGGACTCTGGGCCTTCGGACGCTCTGGGGGAAGGGCCCCTTACCTAGCAGCAATGTAGAGGGTTCTGTTCATGATCATAATCATCTGGATGTCCAGCCTGTGCCTCTGTGTGGTGTTCCGTCCTGGCTTGTGGCCCACAAACACCGGATACTGTTTTGTATCTGTGAAAAGAGGAGATGGGGCAAAAAAGGAAAAGCAAATCAAGCCAAGAATTGCCAGGGTAGGGAGGGGAGGGGACAGGCCACAAAAGAGAGCCGTGTTTAAGTCAGACCGTGCCACCATTTTCCCTCTCCATTTGAGTCTGTTATTTTAGGAAATATGATGGAAGAGTGCTCTTTAAGGTTCATCAAGTTACAGTTTCATTTCCAGATAATAAGAAGCCTGGATTTATATTTCTAAGTGTCACAATTTTTGATTTGTCCCTCTTTCTCAGGGCTCAACTTGCTAGTGAACGCTTTGCATGAAGGTGCTCTTTTCTTCCACAGTTTTCTTTTCATCTTCTGTAGAGCTAAGCCTGAGGGGGCAGTCTGCCAAAGATCTTGTCTCGGGACAAAACTATTTCAAAGCAGCCTTCCCATCAATCACCACAAATGCAATGTGGTCTGGAGGCGAGAGCCCTTGTCCAGGAGCCAGAAGAAAAATACAGTCTCCACAGGCGTCCAGTTGGAATAATCCACTATTGAAGGCAGCCCTGCGAGGTTGGTTGGCATTCTAGGAACTGTGGGAAGTTCACTCTTGAGTAAAGCAATTGGCTAACGATTTCACAGAAATGTGGGCTTTGACAGGACAGGGTCAAACTGAGTGTAGCCAGTCAGGTGATCAGGAATTTTCCCTGACTTGGTGAGTCAATGAGCATATTTCTCTTTTCCTACAGTTCTCTTTGGCTGAGAGTGGCCAATTTGTATTGAGATCTGACCTTTAAAAATACCTACATCTCAACATCCCTTTATACCTGCAATCTCCAGAGTGCTGGTGAGCCTCCAGAGAAACTCAGGAGGAAAGAAAGATTGGCTACATTTAAAAGGCACTTGTTTTCTGGAGAGGGGTGGCGGTATAAATAATGACTAGAAAACCATTCACAGATTTATGCTTAGACCCCTCACTTTACACCCTTGTACTATCTGACCATTACTCACAGTGGGTATCTTATCAGGGAGCCTTAGTATATTATTCACAATAGAGAGCTTGGAATAAGATAATCTTGTGCTTTCCCTTCCACTGCTTTGAAATTTCATGTACCCATTTATCAAGGAGATTGCTAAAACAATTCAAATGTCTCTACGATCATGGATTTAAGTGACCATTGAGGAATGGTTTTCAGCAGCACATCTGGACTGGAGTCCCTTCTATACTCGGGCATCCAAGACAGAAAACTTACCTCAAATGGAAATAAATAAGTGTTTATTAAGTTTGGGACCCTGAGTTCGGTGGACTCTTTCGGGAGTGATGATCTTGAACTACACATTTGGCCTTAATCATGATCTTAGACTTTGCACTGTCTAAATGTTGTGTGCCAGTTTTGCTACCTCATCTTCCAGCCCAGAAAGAACAGCTGAACTCTGGGCATATTTGGATCTCCTTAGTATTCTATATTAATGTTAGACACCTTTGTATGGTTCACTCAGTGTTTGTTTTGGAGTAATTACTATGAAAAGAGATATTTAGAAAAAAATGCTCTCTTACATTTTTACTGTAATAAAATACTTAAGTCTTTTAGAGGGCATGAAAAACAAAGTGGTAAATTGAATGCTCCATCCAACACATAGGCAGAACTTTCCTCTTTTGAGGAGACAACTGAATTCTTAATCATGTCAGTATCTACTCCTGACAATGAAGCAGAGACCAAAGGAAAGTTATTAACAGTTAAAATGGGTCCTCTATAAATTCAAAATTACTCTTTACCCAAGTCTATTAACTATGTAACTTCTAACTCCAAAAAAATTTTCTCTGAAGTACTCAAAAACAGTCATGATTTTTTGTTCATATCTTGCAACAATCCCTATATATGGAATTATATATAAAGATGTGTAATACTGGCAACACCCAGATAACAGTGATATTCTCCCACAGAGCTGATTTTAAGGCATGAACACCATGGCCTCCATGTAGTAACTGAGACTTCATCAGTGTTTCGAGGGATGTTTCAAATCTTCACACGTGTCCCCACAACGTCTGATGGAGTTATAGAAAAGTCACCCTGTCAATTTGACTAGACCTGAATTATCCACCTTTGTCATGTAGAGAGGTTAAAATAACTAATAAGTCACTTTTTCTATTTCATTTTTGATTTTTATTTTTTGCTAGGCTGATTCAGGCCAAAATGTTCTCAAAGAGAGACAGTGAGTGAGACCGTGGGTACTTACAGTTGCCATGCGAAATACTGATTGGCTCAGAATCTTCTGGGAAACCAGCCCCAGCAAAGTGTAGCAGTGTGAAATATAGCAGCAAGGCTTCTGACCTCATAGTAGTTCAGCGGGGAGACTTTATTTCTCTACTTCACCCTGCCAAAAAGTAAAGAACAGATTTTTTTTCCAAGTCAGTTCAAAGCCATAAAATGAAAATACCATTAAAGATAAATTCAAGAGAAAAAAAGGCTTCTGCTTTACTTCTACATGGTAAATTTGCTGACTTTTGTGTTTGGAACTTGTACCTGTTACCTACTGCTATCTCCTTCACGACACATCTGAGCCCTTCCATATGGGACAAAGATTTAGTTCTCTTATCTTGAGCCATCTTTAAGCTCTTACAGGGGCTATTTCACAATCATGAAATGCTGCATTCAAAAAAATGTGAATAACTAGGAAGATGTTTTTTCCTTTTTAAGGTAAATATTTTTCCATACAGATACCAAGACTGCCACTCCCAGACACGCCCAGGATCACCCAGAAATTTGAGATGATTGCCAATATTGAAAAACAGATTTCTGATATGAATCTAGATTTTTCAGTTTGTTTGTAAAAATCAGAATGCCTGCCATACTGACCTAAGTAACAGTTTCCCTCAGGCACAACACCTCCACCTCCAACACACAGATACACAGACAGATACACACACACACACGCACACACACACACAATCTATAACTCGTCCTATTTACTAATTTCCATTACCTGCTTGACCCCTTAGTTGAGATATTCACCCCTGACTTATGTCATTCTACAGTGACTTAGGCATAAATAAATAAAATCACACAGTTTATATTTAAAGAGAAGTAGGCAGATCCTTTCACAGTCTGTGAAGACTAGTACAAGGAGAATCTGAAACCACATTCTGAAACGGTATTGTTGATTTTAAAAAGTCTTATCTCTATATATTTTAGTCTCAATCCTTCCTTGCAGTGAAATAGTAGTGAATAAAAATGTCAGATATACTGTTCTGCCCATCTGTATTTTCTTGATGAAGCTCTTTATGTGTAGAAAAATTCTCCTAAATCTTGGAAATAAAAACAATTCCATGTGGGACTGCTGGATTCAGTGAAAAAAAGGACTCATGATACAGTAAATATCACTTAATTCTCAGGAATATTTCAAATAAGCTTGATCTATCATGGAAATTAATGTAAAATGAGGATATCTTTTCATCTTTCTAGAGCAGTAAACTCTTTGAAGTAGCCTGCCAAAGATTATCTTTTTTGAACAAAGCTATTTTACAGTAGTCCATCAATCATTTAAGATTTGTGTGTAGAAATGTCAAACTTAGTAACCTAGATGTCTTTGAAAGTTAATTTGCAAACAAACTGCTAACTTACACTTTTTGGAATACCATTTAGATTAGATACCTATGTCTCTCTTCTTCATGCCAAAAAAGTATTAATCAGTCCCAAGTGTTGCACTGTAACTTATAATTTCACAGACACAGCTGGGTCTTAATCATTTCTTCAATTGAAAAGTGCACATTAATTAATTTGCTTCATCTTGAAAATCAAAGAGGGAGAGAGATTGAGAGAAAAGCCTAAACAATTCCGTATCTCCATCTCTGATGTGTAGATTAAAATGAAACTTTAAATAATTACTTGTTCATAAGGGTGAATCATTACGAAGAGACATAAACATGTATTTATTAGACAGGTGAAAAGCAAGAGTCTATTCATTCATTTATTTGCCAGTTCTTCCTATCCTAGAGAATCTGAATCCAAAGGAAAGAAGCTCTGAAGTGCCTGATTTGCTTCTTATGGCTCCTGTTCAGTACAGCATTAAAGGGAAGAAATAAATAACAAAAGTAACTAAAACATAAATAAGACACCAGTCAGCTGTTAGATTTTAGGAGAGAAGGCATCTGGCATGGGGAGGGAGAACTGGCAACTTTTACCAGGAGCTCAAGAATAGTATTATACAGAAGCATATTGCCTCAGAGGATTTGCAGCATAAAATGAAAGAAAAGAGGAAACTCAAAAGGCCAATTCTCATTCCTTTAGAAATCTTTAGAGTTATATGTATGCTTTTAAGGATTAATTTTTCTTGACATGACAAATGAATCTCCATCCTTCAACAACTGCATTCATGTTTGTACAAATGTCCTACAAGCTAACAAGACAATGTTCTGCTACTTTATTGTATCCCCCAATTTTGGTTTTTTCCATCTTAAGATTGCATGTGTCAAATGCAAAATTCTCAACCCCAGAAGCTGGCAGGAAAAGCAATGCATGCAGAAGAAATCTATTATGCAAGTCAATGGCTATTCTGGCCATCCCTGCAGCCAGAATCAAGGCTGAGATATGTCACTTAAGTATCTCCAGGTTTACAGCACGGCTCTCTGCCAGGAAAAATAGCTGTTGTATATGTCTTTCTATCATTATATCATCAGGCAGTTAACATGTACATCATATGGGTGAAAGTGCTCTGGCAGTATTGGTTAATCTCAGTCAGTTCACATGAACACTTTAAAATTTTCTTCAGTTGAAGTTTTGATGTATTATTCCCTTTCTACTCAATTTTGGGCCCTAACCCTTGGAAATGTGTAGACAATAAATTTTCTTGTTGAAATGATTACTTTGCAGAGGGACCCCAATTCCATAACACTGTAATTTCTCATCCAAGGAACACAGGCTTGGGTCTCTTTTCTAAGATCACGCACTACAGACTTGCACCAGCCCAGGAGAACAAAAACAAGAACCTTCCACTGAGTTTACAAACCTTCAGCGAGCTGTGCTGCTGCAATATTTAAGAGGCTGTTTAAGTCACTTTCAAGATTTTGAAAAGTGCTACCCACAAGCAGCATATTTATAGGTATCTGCAAACATTTGTCGATTTCTCTGTCTGTGACTGTGCTTACACAGGCTAAATATAACTTAGACTTAAGCAGCTATTCAGAAAATTAGATAAAGGAAGTCTGTCAATATAAGGATGCTAAATAAAAACATTTACTTCATAAGTCAGCCTATTATATCTGAATTTTCCATCTACTTGTCTCAGCCTTTCACTCTTCTTAGCCTGAAGAGAAATGGCCTTTGTAAAACGTATCATTACTACAAAGTTATAATCCGAATATCCCCAACCCCAGAAATTCACAGAGCTTTAAGACATTTTCATTTTAATAAGCATCTGCTTGGTGAATTTATTATTAGGTCTATTTAGGTTCATCTGAAATAAATTTCTTGCATTGACTTTCTACACCCAAACAAAAATTCTTTTTCACAATAATTTTTCCCTACAGCTTTTAAGCCCAAATTGGATAACAGAACTGTGATATACAAATGGCGTTGTGATTATTGGTTGCCATGAGCCAATTGAACCATGCGGAATGCTAACTGGCCAAGAAACTAGCTTTCAGGTATTTCAGATTGAAGATAAAACAAAGGAGACCCGAAGAAGGACTGTCTGAAAACACTGTGAATGCGTTCATGCTGATAATTTTTAAAAGTAAGAAATTCTTTTCAATTACTGGAGCTTCCATCTACGCACACCCCTACCTCCCACACCCCTGATGACGCAGGTCATTGTGTCAACCAGGCATGAAGCAAAAGGGATGGCAGTGGAGGGAGAAATGATTACAAAGTCAGAGAATGAGGTTGTCAATTGCCACATCTTACTTCTAATGAGCCAGTTTAATAAACCACGAGGACTGGGAAGCCATGACAAGTGGACCCAGCCAGAATACTACTCAGGCTAGCCCTTGACACTAGTTCTAATCCTCTGCCCAAATATTCCTCCAAATACTGCCCTGGAAAATTCTATGGGAGCTCATAAACTGGTAGTACCTGGCCGAAGCTCACTCACAGAGAAGAAAAAAACTAAATTAGCAACACTGAGGGAAAAATAGGAGATTTAGTAAGCAACTCCAGATTTCTGACTTCTTAAAAAACAAAAAATCAGAGGTTTGGCTTTGCTAGTCCAAGTCCCCACACGACAACACTCCGGAGTTGAGCACTGGCTGCCCCAAATAGAGCTGTCTGCATTTGGAAACATTCCCACCACTTCCCACTTTCTTAGGAAGTCTTCCTTACCCATTAACCTCGCCTGCCTGCCCCTGAAGGCTCTGAGGGAACCTTTACACTACTGAGGTACAGGACAACAACATTGTTGCATGCGGGTATTCTGTTTCTCTTGGCCATCATCTGCAAGTGGCTCAGCAGCCTTAGCAAGCTGACCATGTGGAATCCACTCTCTATATCCACAAATGAATGAGCATTGGTTGTTTTAGAGACCCAGTTGGGCTGCTCCACACACTGTCTACATGTCCAGCTGCAGCAAACAATGCATAAATGCTTAGTGCATCAATTGCATGGAGGACTTGACTGAATACAATTTTGTGTCTGATTTGGTACACATGGCAGCATCTTCCAGAATGTTGGCACATAAGGCACCTATTAACTATACGTGGTAGTGATGTGAAAAATAATGTATCTGGAAATTTACAAATACAAAATGCTCTTAACTCCAACTGTGGTTTTGAAATAAATAGGGAATGATCATAGTGGCACTATTTTTCCATGTTTCAGTAATTCCTTTTTCTTTCTTTCTTTTTTTTTTTTTTTTCCCCAGAGAGTCTCTGTTGCCAGGCTGGAGTGCAGTGGCACAACCTCAGCTCACTGCAACTTCTACATCACAGGTTCAAGCGATTCTCCTGCCTCAGCCTCCCCAGTAGCTGGGACTACAGGCACGTGCCACGATGTCCAGCTAATTTTGTTATTTTTAGTAGAGATGGGGTTTCTTTTTTTTTGAGATGGAGTCTCACTCTGTTGCCCAGGCTGGAATGCAGTGGCGCCGTCTTGGCTCACTGCAACCTCCATCTCCCTGGTTCAAGCGATTCTCCTGCCTAAGCTTCCCAAGTAGCTGGGTCTATAGTTGTGTGTCACAACGCCCAGCTAATTTTTGTATTTTTAGTAGAGACGGGGTTTCACCATGTTATAGTGAACTCCAACTTTCTCTTCAAAGAATCAGTATGTCAGTATGTTCAGCTCTCTTATTCTTTCTCTATTTAAAGTTTAACTTCCTTGTAATTCCAGTAAACAACCTTCTCCACCAGTTCTAATTAGTAGTTCACATCTGTTTCCCCGCCCCCA